TTTCTGCTGCTTTGCAAGCTGTCAGCCGCATTAGCTTTCCTTCTATATCGGGAATTTGTCCACAGGTAAACATATGGTGGAACCTGTTATGGGTGCACAGTTGAGAATCGGTTGAATATCAGCCGGACTGTTACATGAACCTGATACATATTATAGACTTTTATTCTTTCGTGTATTTGGGAAAGGCATCTGTACAACAACATAACAACATCAGCTTAAAGTCCAACAACTAAGATGAGGAAAATCGAAAAGGAAATGATAATAAGCTGAACAAAGCGATAACTTTCTATACACACTAACAGTACTACTACCCTAAACTAAGCTGTATCTGCGATCCTCTTCTTCAGAAATTGTAATTTGTCCGCCAACGATGTGAATGCACTCAGTTCACTATGCAATACCACAATCGGTTTTACTCCTCTAGCCCGTAACAATCTGAGAGAAAGTTGATCCCATCCAAGGAGTGCGTTTGCTTCTGTCGGAACGACATCCGAGATGAGCTGTAAAGAGCAAAAAATTTACAAATTAATGGTTAAAAGCAGGTTTCGTATTAGCAGCACCTTTCTGTAACTCTACATTTATGGTCCTCAAAACAAACGGAAGAGAAGACGGCGACTTGCTACCTCAGATACCCATTGTGATAAGCCTGTACAACTGAACGGCTGGGGGGAGACATGGCAGTGCTAAATGGTACCGCTCTAGATGTCTGATGTGGGAATCGAACCCGGGAATGTTAGCCGCCCAGGCCAGTAGGGCCTGACATCGCTGTCAATCTAATCGGTGCCAGACCGTGGGCAGATGTAGACCTCGCTGACTTGGGCGATTATCGGTTTTGGTTTGTTTCCCGCACCAACCATATATGTGGAATGGTCTAAAAATAAGGTAAAAGCAGTAACTTTTAGGCCACGGCACTCATTTCGGATTCAAAGTTCACTTCGATTATGAATTGTGTCTCAACCGCTTGGGCGCACTCCGGAAAGGTGATGGTCAACTCCAAAAACCTGATCCATTTCATCTTCGCCCCATCAAACAACAAAGAGCATACCTGTCGCGTCTGACCCCATGCGAAGAATATAATCGGTCGTGGCACACTTTCGCCCCATTTGTTAATAGCTACGAGTCGGTTACTTTCCTATAAAAATCAAGAATTTGCAACACAGAAGGACGAAAAACTAGAAGCCAGTAAGTTGAGATATGCCACCTTTTCGCACACTATTCGCGCATCGAAAAGCACGCCATCATTGTCTATGCAAGATGGACCAATGTGAGTTGATGGTGAGCCCATTTTGAATACCACATCGGCCAGAAAATGATTACACGTCTCTAGTTCTTTCTTTCCGTATTTGTTGAGCCGAGCTAGTCTGGTCTAAATTGCACATAGCAAAAAATCCACAATACTTCTCATAATATTGCAGCGAAAAGGAAACTGAAAGGGGTTACCATGGGAGGGACTCACCGTCTCGTCATCAAACTTGATAGAAGAGCTGAGTTTCGATAAATCCACTGTTGGGCCGGTGTAAGATTTTCCTAGATCTACACGAGCACACGCGCTGATCTGTAGGAGTTTCATGGCCTTGAAGAGTTTATCCCCTGGGGATCTGAAAACAAAAGCTATCCGTAATTATTATAGGTAGTTGTTCCGAATCTTTGAGCTACTTCGCGCAGCGCTTTTTTTTGCTGCACGATGTGAATAACGAGCGTTTACAGTAGCCATTAAATCACAAAAGATGAAAGGATTCTTGTGACTGAGGAGGTTAAGTGGTGAAATTTGTAATGCTTTTTGATATCGCCCATAGAAAACATTTTCGAAAGATGGGCTGAGAGCAAGAGTGTAATGAAGCAGAGAATAGGGAACCACTGAAGACATATGACCATTGGAGGCTGAAGACAACAGAAAAATGATTTAAGCCCCAGAAAAACTCTTTGGATGAAACAACTGACAAAACTACAGTACTCACGTAGTAGCTTGTAAAAGCTGGTTGACAAAATCTCTGTTCAAAACTGTCTCAGCTAAATCAGGAGTAAGCACCCGAAAATAAGCTAGAGCATGAACAGTGCTCAGCCAGGCGTTTTGCGAAGGTGCAGACTCTCGTCGAACGCGTTCTGCTAGTTTCAAAGCAGCAGGACGACACTCCTGTGAATTGAGTAATGAAGAAAGGTAGAACGGTAGCCAAGATGGTAATAAAGGATTACCTCTACACCATTTCTAGCCATTCCTGCTATAACAATAGATAGCGATTCTAAGGGAGCATCGTCCACATTATTGTTCACCCAAGTGGCTAAAGCGTTCCATGCGGGCATTGCGCCGAAACGCAATCTGAACTTCACGAAACACAGGCTTGAGCAGATACTGTGAAGGACGATGCTAGCCTATCATCATCCAGAAGTGGAGGTAAACAAACCCAGTATTCAGGCATAACTTGTATAAAGTTCAGAAAGTTTTACCTGCTAAATGAATTCACTAAGGAAGAAACATCCGACCAATTCTGCAGATTGTTAACATCGACTAGAAGATCTTTAACAAGACGCCGCTGCACCCTTCCATCGAAATAATTCAGCTTAGCACACGAAGCTGCCAAAGACACTAGTTGGCGAACAGATAGGGGTGTACGGTGGCTGGAATACAAACAGATTATGTCCAAGAAAATCGAGAAAAGGTGACCCTTGAAAAATTGAGGGGATGCAAAAGTACAAGATCGAGCTTCAACGTAGCCCATGCTTAAATATGTTTAAAAAGACAATTACGTAAGGAATTCCAGGAAAATGGAACTAACTCCGTAATCCTCGCCGAAAGTAGCGGAAGCAGCCGCTTATCTCGAATTCCTCTTTCGGCAAACCGGCTCATCAGAGAGCACATCTCTCCTATAGTTAGCACACAGCACGACAAATCGGTACCAAGCAGTTGAGCTGTCTTGTCAGCGGCTGCTTGCGAAACTTCTCTATCACTTGGATCCCAATGTGTAAGGACCGCTATTAAAATATTTGCATTGTCGATATCCCTAAACCGCAGACGTTTCAAAAGAAGATCAGTGATTCGTAAAACAAAAGCTTACCTTATTTGCGATGTTAGAGCTTCTTTCACGGCTGCTTTTAGCTCTTTCGGCCAAGCATAGCCAACGCGATTACAGGCTATGATNATTTGCATTGTCGATATCCCTAAACCGCAGACGTTTCAGAAAAGGGCCAAAGATTCGTAAAACAAAAGCTTACCTTATTTGCGATGTTAGAGCTTCTTTCACGGCTGCTTTTAGCTCTTTCGGCCAAGCATAGCCAACGCGATTACAGGCTATGATCAGAGGAACAACAGCCGCGATAGAGAGTTCCGTTTCGCCTGCAGAAGTCACTCATCTGTGAAGTCTCTGTGAAAATCAGGATCAAGCGAAATACCCACTGATTTGGGAGAGTAGCCTTTTCTCCATTTCACAGAATGTGGCCTCTTCTTTAAGTCCAAGATCCAACAGTCCAGTCATTATGGCAACAAACTCGTCATTAACGCCCATAGCCGCTATGTCAGCCTCGCTGAGCCCTTTTCCACAACTGAATATGAGTTATTACGAAACACTATTGCTCAAAATGGCAAAGAGACACTAACCTCTTAACAAACGCAGGAGCGATTTTCTTCTCCTTGTCCAAAAATAAAGCTGCCTTGAGCACACCTAAGTATTCGGCAGGAGAAAGTGGTTCTTTGTGGCTCTCGACTCTCTATAAGCTAAGTGCAAATTAGTTGTCTAGTCTAGGGGCTCATTGACGTAAAATAAATCCAAGGCACCCTACCTTCTTGAGCTCCTTAAAACTGGCGACATGCGTGAATGGGGATTTTATCCGCTCGGTAACTGACGAGATTTCATTCTCGGAAGATAGCGCGTCGATGAGACCTTAGAAAGTGGCATTTTGACTGCATTTCCTGGCAGTATAACATTTTAGGTAGAAAAGTCATATTGATAAGAACACATCATCAAATAAAGAATCTATGTGTTTGCCGTTGACCTCAGATAAGAGAAAAAAGACACGACAGGCATAATTGGCCGGCGAGAGTGCTAGCCAATTATACGCGTCGTGTCTCATGCCTGTCGTGTCTGAGTGCATCTGAGTTTCCCTACTTTTTTGCGGTTGAACTTAGAGTAAAAAGCAAACTAATACCTTTCAGGGGGTCGTCTCCTTCAACTGCAGCAACATTTGCCGCTAATGTCCTTATAGCCGTAACCCGTAGGGCAGCTTGCGATAGGCCAACGCTACTACGAAACACACGCCGAAGCATGTTCCAAAGCAGCTGTTGGTGCTGACCCTCAAGATGGAAGCCCTTGAGCTTAACAAACCTACAAGATAGCACGAAGGACTTTCAAGACAAAACATGGCGCCCATGACTTGTAAAGTAAAGTGGAAAAAATCGAAATATATTGAGGAAACTCAGCACCGGAGATGTAGTAACGCCGATTACTACGAATATTTATTCGAAAAAGAACTTGGTAACAACCTTAGTCTAGATCTACAAGAACATCCCTGCTCAACTTTGATTCCGCTGATTCTAATTATAACATAACAAACAACACTCGATCCGTTTCAACAAGGTAATGTGAACAAATAAAACAAGAACAGAATCTAAGCCTAACGATGAATAATAGCGCCATTCTCGAGCTGATCAACAATGGCAGCACAAATGCACTCGTGCACACCTTTGCAGGTATCTTTTGCTGCAGCCATCAGTGCCGGCAGATGATCGATGTGGACGCGATTCTGTAGTTCCACCAAGACCACTTCATCTTCGCCTCGCAAGGTGGCCAGCTGAATATCAGTCGTAGAAATGTTGTTAAGTTAGAGATTTTAAGGACACAACAAATCGTAAGCTAGTAAGCGATGCCTACCGTAAGCCGAGGTAAAAGATCTGTCTCTTCTCTCTGGTTGACGTCAACAACAGGTTGCCCATCTACGATACTGCATGTGACTGCAGCAACAATACCTTTCATTGGTATCCCAGCATCCGACATAGCCAAGGATGCTGCATTCACACAAGCTGCCAGATGAGATCCATCGCTCTGTAGTTATACTTTTCATAAGAAACGACATACACACTGCTGGTTTCTGATAACTTCATCACCAGTCAGGGTTAGGAGAATAATAGTAGCTAGATAAGCTTGCTAGAGCAATCACGATTGAATCGTGTAACTAATTTAATCGGAATTGTTGCCTACTTAGAGCAATAGATTAATCTTGGCCATTGCCAATTCTAACCTGTATGATCTGGCAATATATGTCGATCTGCGACGTAGGAAAGAGATGCGTCAGAACTGCTGCCTCGAATGTTTTTACAATAAGACGCTCTATTTCCATCGATTTACGATCGGCACGAATTCGTTGCCTGCGTTCAACACCAGCAAAACGGGTCATACTGAAAAGTGGCTGTTAGTAGTTAACAACAAGCGCTTAGTGATGTTCTTCAACCAAATGTAGAACTACTAAAAGAAAAAAGCAAACCTTAGCATACAGTTGATGGAACAACGATCCTCCAGTTGACGAGATCGTTTACCTTCGAACGGGCCATAGACAGCGCATAAGATCTATAAAAGCAAGTCTAAGGTGGGAATTCTTGAAAAAAACTTTCAGTGAGCAGGAACGAATGACTTGTACATTCCAAACCTTCGTGCCTCCTTGCTCAAAATATGCTGAGCCTTCTGCATCTCGTAGTGTACCAAGAGCGACATTAATATTTCGGATCTGGTGCGGGCGTCTGCCGTCAAGGCGAAAGCCATGTTCGGATACGATATTCATGGTTTTAACTTGAAGTCTTTGAACAAATAAAATCTGAAACGAGGCGATTCTCGAGCGATGTAAACATTGGAGGCTTTTAAAAGCGTTGCTTACTTAAGCTTCTTTGGTGGCTGGTTGGCTTTCTGGCACTTCTTTATTTATTTCTTGCTTTTCCGATTGCTTTTCTGCTTGCTGCTTTGCTAATTTTGCTGCTTCTCGAGCTGCTTTAGCGCTAGCTCTTATCGCTTCAGTTGGGGTTGGTTCTCCTTGTTTGAATAGAAGTTTCGGTGCTTGCTCTGCGAATACTATCATAAGACGACGATTAACTCGCATCTGCTTGTCAATACCTGGAATTATGTGCTTATAAGTTTTTGCATAGAAAGGTAAAAAATACGCTTTTTCGAAGAAAAAATTGAAAATATTTGACCGGAGGATAGTTGATGTGAAAAATGAAANTTCGGTGCTTGCTCTGCGAATACTATCATAAGACGACGATTAACTCGCATCTGCTTGTCAATACCTGGAATTATGTGCTTATAAGTTTTTGCCCAGAAAGGTAAAAAATTGAAAACATTCGACCGGAGGATAGTTGGTGTTGTAAAAAATGAAAAAAGTGCTCAAGGCCAATTAAAATACTCACATCGCGATACACAACTATCTTCGGCTGAAGTAAGGTTGTTAGTGTTGTATTCACGAATACAGGAATTGAAGCACTTTTCAGTTAAGATATTGTAGACACCCAGAAATTCGCGAAGCTGAAAAAAAGATAATTAAAAAGTGACTTCAGAATGGGGTGAATTCAAAGTGATTACCTGATTTATGTCCTGGATGTTCATAAACACCCGCTGACCAGTGCGAATCTGGAAGTTTTCAATAGAAATCTTTACTCGATTCATGGAAATCCCAATTAGTGCTGGTAAAATTAACATTAATTCAATCCCTCAGATATTCTAAGCGTTATGAATAATATAAGTGTGTTCTGAATAACGCGCGTCACCACAAACTAAAAACATTTACGCCGACAAGAAGTTATTTGCCTATAGTACCAGTACGAAATCGTTTGAGTTCAACCGCACTGCATTTCCCTGATGAGCTGGATTCATTACAAACTTTCAGAACTACTGACAGAAAAAAAATATTGATAAATTATGTACAAAGGAAGATGTATCCTGAAGGGTTTGGTTTTGACAAAGCGGTACAATTTATCAAAATTCTTGAGTAAGTGTCGCGCCTCTCTAATGTGTAGCCTACCTTCTTGATGCTTTTTTTCTCTGATTCTGCCTATCACAGCTCGGGACGCGGAGGAAAGAGCAATAGTTGTGCCTGCTCAGCTATTGACTTTTGAGCGCGATATCTTGAGTGAAGTGAAAATCCGACCGCCTGTCCTAAAACTTGAGCAAACACCGGCGTAAACTGACTGGGCGGCAAGTCCTCTTCGACTAGGGATTGCCTTCTCATTCTTTATGGAGCCTTATGACCATCCTCAAGTTAATATAAAAAAATTTCCAAGTTCTTACTCTCCTGTGCTATCTTGATGCGCGGTTTTCTTCATTTAAACTTGTCCAAGGCTTTTCATTTACTGTCTGTCTGGTTTATGCCGACAAATTCATTTTCTTTCGGCCGAAATTATCAAAACGATGCGAAATGAAAGTCTAAGATGCGCTCCACGTATCACATGCTATTTCGCTTTCCACCGACTAAAAACTGGTTCCTATGTGTTTTCAACTGAATGGGAATAACGGTGAGCACTTGCCGTTTTTAATCGGGTTTCCTGTTTACAATATCTATCTTGGAAGTAGTTTCCTGGGATCTGAAGACAAATGCAGCTCAATATCGACGTTTCACAAGATATATAGGCCTTATCTGTATCCTGTTTAGGGGCTCACCCCATGAGTAAATTGAGAGCGTGTTCTTCCACTGTTGTGAATAGGTAAAATGCTGCACTGTCACACACTTTCATCTTAGGCCGGCTGTGAATTCTTTAAATGTGAATGGTTTTCGACGTTTCTATCATTTTTGTCTTCATCTTCCGTCAACATCTCCTCTGCTTGCAATCGTCATATTTGTGATAAGGATCTTCACTTACTCCGATCGATGAGATATCAAGAAGCAAAGTTAGGGGTTAGCTTGCAGATCGAGTGCTGGTCACCAAAATGGATCCTGAAGCTTCGTATGGTGACGAAAGTCTCACGGCATCCATATCGCTACGAAGACGTTCTACGTCTTTTTCTGATGACTATTCTGTACAACGCACTAATGACGATGCTACCCAATGCAAATATGCTGCTGTTCAGGTAAGCCGCACATCATTCATCTCATTCTGTATAGCAGTAATTCCTTTATCATGATTTTCAGTTAGGTTACTGGAAAGATGAGTTTCTTCCTCGTTTTGCCTATACTGGTGCACCAGAAGCTCGACGTGATCCCGAGATTTCCATCGGTTANATGCTACCCAATGCAAATATGCTGCTGTTCAGGTAAGCACGCACACCATTCATCTCATTCTGTATAGCAGTAGCATTCCTTTATCATGATTTTCAGTTAGGTTACTGGAAAGACGAGTTTCTTCCTCGTTTTGCCTATACTGGTGCACCAGAAGCTCGACGTGATCCCGAGATTTCCATCGGTTACTGGGCTCGCGTATCCGCCGTGCATCATTTGGTGGAACGCTTCATTGACAAAACCGAAGGACAGTGTCAAATAATCAGCCTAGGTTCGGATTGATGTTGGAATGATTATTCCTTATGCTTTTCACGTAATACGGTTTAGGATGTGGCTTCGACACGCTCTTCTGGAGACTGAAGAAAGCTGGCAAAACAATGAAAAAATTTGTCGATGTTGACTTTAGTTCGGTGACGGCGAAGAAAATTCGCCAGATTCGCAAGCCGGGTACTCCAGATTTGGTCAGCCTTTTCAATGAGCCACGTAAGTTTTTGGTGCCTACTTTTAAAGCTCCACTCCTAGCACATTATTTATTTAAAAAAAGTTTTAACCATTCCTATTGACTCTAATCCTATTTTTCAGCCAAAGAAACGCAGCACACAGATTTACATTGCGGTGACTACCACCTTGTCGGCGCAGATATTCGTCAATGGGCTGAATTCAAAGCAAAGTTAGACTCTGTTGGTATTGATACAACTCTTCCTACGATGTTTATAGCAGAGTGAGTCTTAGTGTTGTATTTCCATCTGTATCGTTCTGCATCCGAGAGTCGTTTTAAACATTTATTGATTTCGACGCCTTAGAGGTCCACATATGTTTTGATTCCAAACGAGAATCTGTTCCTATTCATAAAGAGCGAGAGAAATCCAAAGGTTTATTCTGTTTTCAATGAAAACCTGATAAAACGGACAAGCACGGTTTTGAAAACCTTCAAACCATCATATTTCAGCATTTAAGACCAACCTACACTAAAGCCTCTTCATGGGCTACTTAGATAGCCTCGAAAGAACCATACAAGGTGTTACATCTAGGGTTAACAGGGAAGGGTCTGGATCAGAGAAAGAAGACTCCAGGAAGGTCTAGTAGCGATCATCTTCATTCTATCCTTAAAATTCGAAAGCAGGACACGGATTGCCCTTCACATAGACTTTTTCGATATGAATCAACCAAAGAACTGTTACATGAGTATAAGCAATCCACTGACATGCGCAATGGTGCTCAATTAAGGTGTGTCCTTGTATACATATCAGTGGATCAGAGTGCGCAGCTGCTCAAATCCCTCTCCGATACTTTTAACACCGCAGTCTTTCTTAATTATGAACAGGTTTGTGAAAATCTTGCCAATAGAAACTAATAATGCAGAGGGTTAAATTTTTGCATTTTTACATTTCTTGCATTCTTTATAGGTTCGTATAAAAGACACTTTTGGAAGTGTGATGGAAAAGAATTTGGAGCAAAGAGGGATCCAACTACCAGGGTTACCTGCCTGCAGTGATATTGAGACCCAAAGAGAGCGGTAATGAGCTTTCGAATTCTTCGAAATTTTGTATTTTTTTCGTGTTGCTTATTTGCTGTACGGCAGATTTTTGGCTAATGGTTGGAAGAATGTAGCTGTGATTGATATGAATACTGTCTATAAGAAGTTGTTGCCTCAAGACGAAGTAGCCAGGTAACGCTTCGGAGATAATAATCAACCTTCTATCTGAATTTCTGAACGTCTCTTTCAGAATCGAAAAGATTGAACATTTGGATGAAATGGAATTGTTGCGGCAATTGCTCGATCATTACTGCATAGGTTACGCTCTGAACGACAAATCTGAGAAATTTACTAGCCGTTTAGTGTTTCCAGAGCTGTGATTGAAATAAGCCATTTTAAATTTCTTTTCCATATTCCCGAAGATTTCGAGCGCGTTCATGTCGCTTAAGTACGTTTTATGCATCTCACTAGACTTACTTTTTTACGTGTTCCAATACTTTCTCGCCCACTGCTCCTTTGTATCTGCACCGTATTGTAAATATTTACAGGTATGCACTATTTTAATTCAGAGAAAGATTCTTTCATTTAATCGTTGCTTGTTTCTTGCCTCATGTTTGACATAAACTGTTTTATTTCGTTTTAATTTACCGTAATACTGACCGCGTTGAAATCGGAAATTTGTTTTGTAGACGTGTATGCAGGCTTTTCGTTATTGCCATACCTCTTTGCTGCCTTCCAAAAGAGTTTTTTAAAATGTATTCAGGTAAAAATAGCTTTAGAATGTCGCTTTCTCAATGGAAACTGGATTATTTTGTTCCATCCCGGAACTGCAGAACGTCCGATAGCGCATTCAATCCTCCAGGTTTTCATACTGGTGCTACTTCAGCTCAGCAGCATGTCAGTTACATTCCAAATCGTTTTTAATCGTTTGTATATTCGATAATAAAAGTTAACATGCCGATGAAATTGCAGGTCGATAGTGATCAAGCATCTGAGCAGCAAGAACACTTGGCGAAAAAACGAGCGTGGGACGTGGCAATGGCTCCAGCCAAAAGTCTTCCGATGAACATGTTCATGATGTATATGGCTGGGCGAAGTGTACGAGCTTATTCACTGTTGCTATCGAATTCGCTTCATTTCATAACTTTTATTTTCTTGAAATCCAACTACGCTATCAGCAGGATCTTGGTTTTGTTCTAAGGATCACAGAGAGAAGCAACAAGAATATATTTTCACTTGCTTTTAGGTTTCTATTTTCCCCATTATGATGGTAGGCATGATGTTATGGCGCCCAGCTAAAGCCCTTTTCTCTGTTAATGCGACATTCAAGCCCCTCGAGGTAATCTCATTTATCGTTTTTGTTCTTGCTTTTCATTTGCTTGATTGATGCTTTCCAAATTTTCGAGGAATATCGCTATCAACGTTTTGGAGGTCCTTTCAAAGTCGTTGGAAGGTTGTCTTGCTATCTTTTAGTTACATCAAAATGCTTTTTTGAAGGATCAAAATACCGGAAGTATGATCATTCATAAACTGGTATTCATTCTGGGAAATTTGGGTGCTATTGCTCTTGCCATATATAAGGTTAGTTTATGGTCAACATTGCTCAATTGCGCTGAAGGCCTACCAAACAGGTTGCTCTTGCAGGTTCACACTATGGGCCTCTTACCGAATACACCATCCGATTGGCTCGAATTCATTCCTCAACCGCAACGTGTCCAGTATTCTATATTTAGTAGTACTTACGTTTGAAATTGGTTAATAGTTTGATGTACAGAATTGCACGGTCATTGCTCTGTAGTCGCTAGAGAACACTGTGTTGTGACCTTTGGTAAGCACTGTGATAAGGTGTTTACAAAAGGCATCGTTATCGGTTCTGCTAATTCCGATTTCCGGCTTAAATTTTTCTCATTGTTTTTGTAACTATTTGATTCAATATTGTTTGGAGTTTTACAATGTAAGAACAAGAGCTTGGTCTAGTCCGTACTTTATTTTGTTGTCTCGTCCATTGGTATGACTTTTGGCCTCTTTTTGACTATTATTTTATTTCGGGAAATTGCGAGAGCTCTATTTTTCCGCCTCGATGTTTTCGATTACTTCGCTTCGATTCTAATGAATAATGAGATGATGTTGGTCTGGTGTAATCTGATAACGACGTTGATTCGAACTCGTACTTAAGAATTACGTATTATCATGTTAAAAGTGCGATTTCTTACCGAACCAAAGGGTGAGAATTTCGATGCTGTGAGGTAGATTCGAAATTCGGCCAACATGAGCCTTTCTTTCTGTTCGATTACCTCCTTTTATACCTCCTGCTTTTGTTCGTTTAAATTTGAGAGACTTCAATACTCTCTTTCACTTTCACTCTTTCCTTACAAAATATTCTGATTCAGAGTCTGTCTTAATTTTTTTTTGCTAAATGTAATGTTCCTCGTTAGATTAGAGCTACTCTTTTGAAAAACGTTTTTGACTTCTTGAGAAGTTCGTAAGTTGGTGGTGTTTTCATCAAAACTCACTTCTCTTTAAATTGTCCTCAGGTTTTGGGTCCAAGTTCAACAGTGACTCGATAGGATAATCGCTGTTTACGAGGAATTAGCTGAAAAATAGTACTAAGTATTCAGGCATGTTGCGGGCTGCGCTCAGGGTAACGGTAAACCAGAAGGCCATGGCGTCAACGACGGCTCCTCTGATTAAGAAGATTAACCGTGTTCTCATTGCGAATCGTGGTGAGATCGCTATCCGAGTAATGAACACTGCCAAGAAGATGGGTATTGAATCGGTGGCTGTTTTCTCGGATGTAGACAGGAACGCTCTATTTGTGAAGAAGGCCGATCAGGTGTGTAGTTCTTTTTCCTTTTTTTCTGCCTACTTTTCCTCTCGTAACTTCTTTCCACGTGTTTTGAGATAAGGACACTTTCACTTGGTCCCTATCATTGTTAACGGAGTTTCGAATAATTGTAGCATCGTACTAATGCTAAGAACTTCATACGATGATTTTTGATTTAAACTGAATGAAGTTATCAATCTTTCGAACCAACTAATTCAGATAGCTGCTCAATCCGAAGAATATTTTTTCAGGCATATCACATTGGACCTGCTGCAGCTGCTCAAAGTTACCTGAATGTGGACAAGATCATCGATACTGCTCTTAAGGCCGGTGCTCAGGGTGTTCATCCGGGGTACGGGTTCTTATCAGAGAACGCGAAATTTGCAGAACGGTGCGCTGAGGCTGGCTTGGTGTTCATAGGACCGCCAGTACAGGCAATAAGAGATATGGGCACAAAAAGTCTTGCAAAGCAGATTATGCAAGATGCTAAAGTAAGTGTTGTCACAGTTTTTTCATCTAAACGTTGTATTGATGGCTCTTAAGCTGTTACTAACGAACTAACAAACCAACGAGAAATCCTTCCACTTATGCACGGTCATGCACGCTTCGGAAACATTGCTTCATTTTCAGCCTTCCTATGATGTAATCGTTTCTGTTGAGTGATTGGGTCCTTTATTCGGTCGAGTTTTCCTGTTCATGTTTCATTCGCTTTAGGTGCCTGTTGTGGAGGGTTTCCATGGTGCAGACCAATCAGACGGTAATCTCAAAATTCATGCGGAGAGAATTGGTTAGTTCAACGTCCGAGGCATCACAGCTTCCTTTTTCGATAAGTGTATTGATTTTAGGGTATCCTGTCATGCTCAAAGCTGTCTATGGTGGAGGCGGCAAAGGTGATTCTAAAAACTTTTCCGTAGTAGGAAACTTCTCACCAATACTTTGGCGAGGTTTACTGATATGGGTTTCTCCGAAGAATTCTGTATTGAGTAATCGTTTACTGTGTGATTTTGAAGGTATGAGAATAGCCTGGTCAGAGGCAGAGTTCGATGAAAAACTTGCGTCTGCAAGAAATGAGGCCATGAAATCCTTTGGCAACGACGAAATGCTCGTAGAGAAATTCGTTGAAAGGCCGCGCCATGTAGAAGTCCAGGTATGTTATCGTGATTGTTGTTCGGTTACGTACTGCGACCAAAGCATGGGAGACCCGTTGTTTTGCTCATGACTCAGCATTCTTGTCGTAATGTTGGCGAAGCGAGTTGTTGCGGTAGTTAGCAAGAAGGGAAAGAGAATTGAAATCTGTATGGTAAACGTTTTCCCTGAGAATGTCTTGAACAGCCTCTTACCGCAGATTTTCAGGTGTTTGGAGACCACCACAAAAACTATGTCTACTTATGGGAGCGTGATTGTTCAGTGCAAAGAAGACATCAAAAAATAATCGAAGAGGCTCCTGCTCCACTGATCAGTAAGTGTCTTCCACTGATTTTTTTGTTTGCATTGAACCAAGCATTCCACATGTCTAGGCTTCTACGTTCTTTCGCTTTTACTTCTATTTCTTTCTTATGAATTTCTTTCAAGATCACGAAACAAGACTTCGGCTAGGAGAATCTGCTGTGCGAGCAGCTGCAGCTGTTGGATATGTGGGAGCGGGAACTGTGGAGTTCATCCTTGATCCAAAAGGGAATTTCTATTTCATGGAAATGAACACGCGTCTTCAAGTGGAACACCCAGTTACTGAAGCTATCACCGGTGAGGCCTTGTATATTGTCCGCAGTTTCATATGCAATGGAACTTTTGAAACTGTAGAGAACACTTCATTTTAGGCACGGATCTTGTTGAATGGCAGCTGAAGGTGGCCCAAGGCGAAAAACTACCTCTGAAACAGGACCAGATCCCACTGAAAGGTCACGCTTTTGAATGCCGTGTATATGCGGAAGAGACGAAAGGAGGCAGCTTTATGCCAACTGCTGGTCCGTTGAACCTTTCATATGTTGCAGTATTGTTTTTTACTGGTTGCCAAATCCATGGAAGGATACCATCGTCTATGTCAATGTAATTGAGGAAGTGATATTTCCAGGTAAGCTAGATTATGTGTCGTTCCCAAGCGACGCTCGTGTCGACACTGGTGTCGTCTCTGGTGACGAAGTCTCTGTTCATTACGACCCTATGATAGCCAAGGTAATTTTGTACTTTTGTCCCTTTTGCATTGATTGTCGATAACGTAATGGCGTTGTAAGTAAGTTATACCTCCTTGCACTTTGTAAAAGGAATGTAATTGGAAATGACGGTGTAGTGTAGTCTGGCGCCTACGAGACCTTCGTGAACTCCAGAAAAATTCTATATGACCTAAGGACTAATTGAAATAGAGCAGATCAAATAAGCCTGTAATGGGGTCTTGATTTTGTTTATCGTACCGTTCTGTTTATTCGGTTTTCTGTCCCACCGATCAGTCCATTTGGTGCATATCTTCTCTAGCGTTTGTTGGTGAATCGCCATTTCTAATCCCAGTTATTATTTCTTCTTGTTTTATTTGCCACATTTTCTAGTAAAGACCTTCGCAGTTATTCGTCATTGCCCAGAATAGTAGGCTTCTAGAATTCACGTTTAGGTGGTTGTATGGGGAGAAGATCGAGCAGCTGCTGCAGCCAAGTTGGACAGCGCTCTGTCTCAAACACGAATCAGCGGATTGCCCACAAACATTCAGTTCGTCCAAACTGTGTTGAGACATCCCGAGTTCGTAAAGGTCAGGCTATGATTGTTTTACTTTCTCATAGATTCACCCCTTTTTTTATGGCGGAATCCCTGTTCCAAATGTTACCGGTATGAGCTTCTTTAAGGGTAATGTCTACACAGATTTTATCCCAGACCATCAAGAAGAACTATTCTCAGAAGTGAAGCAGTCCAACACCGTTAGTTTATTTTATTTTACAATCTCTAATTTATACGCATTTCTCAATTTTTTTTNTTTTTTTTCCAGAATATCGTTGAAGGTGCAGTTGGTCTAGCACTACTAAGTCTACCGCTCAATCCACGCGGTCCATTTGAGAGAATTTCCTTTTACCGTGTGAATCATCCAGCTGAACAGATGTATAAATTAGGTATGTAATCATATTCTCGTGTGTTCATAGCTGTCATGTCTCTATATAGGCGACAAAGAAGTTACGGTGGCTTTTCTGAGCGAATCCGAGCTGGTAGTCCGTTTTGATGACCAGAAGAAGCATGTGAGTCTCAACAATGTCGTGAAGAATGAAGATATAGCGCAATATACGCTCGAAATGGACGGATGTCGGTGGAAGGCTGAAGCTGTGCGGCTTCCAAAATCTGCCTTGGTAAGTCTTCTCAAAGCGAAGATTATTACAGCCGATTGCTTAGTTTATTGAGCTTTTTCGATAACTGCATTGAAAAAACCACATCAGCCGTGGAAAGACATCAGAAAGCCATAAAAGTTTTTTAACTCAATGTCCTCGCTTTTGCTGCGCCAAGCAAATCTAACTACTTGCCTACAGTACTCCCCAAGTGCTACTTTGTGTGGCCTTCAAGTATGTAGGTGGCATGTGAATAGCACTCGCTGCTAGATAAGATACCTTAGGCATGACCTTGCTTGTTATTAGGCTTCACACTAGGATCTACGATGATTTCTTACATCGCGTTGTTTACGGCTGAGGTCGCTCACTCGAGTTGCTTAGCTCCGATAAACATTTAGGTCTGCTTATCTTTCAGCCCAAGTAATTCCGTTCTTTGATTGGGCGGCTAACAAGAGCTGAAATCCTTTCTTTCCTGCACTACTTTAAGTAAAATATGTTTACTTACTGGTAATTGAATGTAGAACAATCGTTGCAATCGTAAAACTAAAGCAGTCAGAGTGCGGTGCATCGTTTAGCTAGTTTTTGAGCTTCGTTTATTTCGCAAAGACATTTATTGAGCGTGATCATTTGATAACGGCCGGTTCCTTGAACACGTTCGGCAGATTGTAAACAAGAGATAAGCGACAGATGGCTCAGTCGCAATGCTTCATTCACTCTCTGCAAGGGAGCTACCATCGCTCGCTCTCTCACTCTCTAGATCGCTTCGCTTTTTTGGGGTTATTCAGAAACTGTCATGTGGAACTTTGGTTTGAGTGGCTTTCACCCATATCGTGGTATTATGTTGGGACCTTCAGCAAAAATTCTAAGTAGTTTACCTATATGTAATGTAGATTTTTTTAATTATTTTTCAATTTTTTTTGCATATTCTCGTCTACTTTTTCAGTCTTTTCTGGTGTTCGGTTTTCTCTGGCGTTTAAATTGAATCTTTGACCCTTTTTCAACATTAGTTTTTAGGTGTGTGGTTCTGGACAAGCAGAGTATGAGATGACATTGACAAACTTTAACGAGGATAGTAGTGCGGTAGGTGCTGGAGATATCCAGACGTCTCATGCACCGATGCCTGGAGTAATAGAGAAAGTTCTCGTGAAGGAGGGAGATGAGGTGAGATGGTTACCCATCGTCTTTAAATACTTTATCTATCAAATTATAATTTTACTCTTTCCAAAATTGGACTTTGAAGGTGCAACACGGTCAGCCGCTAGTGGTGATGACTGCAATGAAAATGGAATACATAATAAGGTAATCTCCTATCAAGACTCTAATTTTTGCACTTTGGTTGTGTACTGAAGGCTTTTTGGTTAGGTCATGGATCTGTATATTGCACATACATTCACCAGCGTTTGTTTGTTGTTTACGTTTGTACGGTTATTTGAGCACGATTAGCTGTCGGAACTTTGTGGCTGCTAGGTCATGAAGGGGTATGTTGGGTCTATTTACCGTATCCTCGTAGTCCGAAGTGGACATTTTCAAAGTGTTCTCTTTGCATGGACTGGATTTCTTGGTATTACGTAATTTTTCAGGGCTCCTGCTCATTGTAAAGTTGCTGCCGTCTCCTGTGAACCTGGTAAAAATGTGCCTAAAGGAAAAGTACTTGTGAAGTTTGCGTCGTTGGAAGAAGATGAAGCTCAAAAGGTTGCCCAGCGTGCTTAGAGAGGGGATCAGCAATCGTCGCTAGGGGGTTCATGTTTTGCTCAGAGAAACACTTTTCCAGAAAATTCATAATTTCGTAAGTTCATAGGGTAGAACCGGTGATTATGCAAAAGCCGTACTTTGCACGTTGTTCTAGTCTTTTTTATGGCCATGATTCGTGTG